AACTGTAACAACAGTCAAATCTCCACAATCACAATAATGGAAAAACAGTCTTCACCAACCAGTGGATACACAGGACTTCACCCAAAGGTGGATTACAACAATACTCTTCCACACACACCTATCACAAAGTAGGACTGGAAGGATCTAACCAAAAGAGAGCTAAACTGAAAATTAAACCCTAGCTTTCTTTCTTTTTCTCTTGTACAAAAACAATGCACGGTTGCCCAAACTTTTCTTCTCTTCTTGGCTGAAACACACGCCTAAAAATTATGCCAAACCCTTGCTTTTATAGAGCAAAAAAACCTTAAAACAAAAACCCAATTGGAGTGGGTTTTGTTTCTTAAAACCAAAGTCAAATTTGGCGTGGTTTTATTTGTTTCCTTGTTGACCCAATTGAGGGGAATACCGGGCCAACAATCTCCCCCTTCACCTCAATTGGGGGGTAAAACCAAACCCGCTTCCTGTCTACAGAACAGAAGCTTCTCTCTACTCACAGTCTTCGTCAACATATCGACACCGTTGTCATCCATATGGATCTTCTCAAGAAACAACGCCTTGAAGTCCAACACATCCCGGATCCAATGATATCTCACATCAATATGTTTTGACCGCGAATGAAATGTGGAATTTTTCGCTAAGTGAATAGTGCTCTGGATATCACAATGCACCACATACTTCTCTTGCTTCATGCCAAGCTCTTGTAGAAACTTCTGCAATCAAAGTGCTTCTTTACAAGATTCAGTAGCTGTGATAAACTCTGCCTCTGTAGTAGACAAAGCAACACATTTCTGCAATCCATTCTGCCACGAAACTTCTCCCCCTCCATAAGTCATCAAGTAACCAGAAGTAGACTTCCGACCATCAAGGTCACCCGCCATGTCAGCATCTGTATATCCATCCAACATGGTCTTCCCATTACCAAAGCAAAGACTCAATCTGGAAGTACCCTTAAGATACCCGAGAATCCATTTCACAGCATTCCAATGCTCCTTACCAGGATTGGAGAGAAACCGACTAACAACACCAACTGCATGAGCTATGTCTGGCCTTGTGCAAACCATTGCATACATGAGGCTGCCAACTGCCGAAGCATAAGGAACCTTTTTCATCTCTTCCTTATCTTTCTCACTTTTAGGAGACTACGTTTTGCTTAGCTTAAAATGCCTTGCAAGTGGAGTCGTGACTTCCTTAGCACCGCTCATGTTAAATCTATCAAGAACCTTCTCGATATACTTCTCTTGAGATACCCAAAGCTTCCCATTCTGTCTGTCACGAGAAATCTTCATCCCAAGGATCTGCCTAACCGGACCCAAATCCTTCATCGCAAAGGATTTATTCAATTCCTCTTTCAACCTGGCAATCTTTGCAGTATCATGACCAACAATCAACATGTCATCGAAATAAAGCAATAGAATTATAAAATCACCATCAGAGAATTTCTTCACAAACACACAGTGATCAGCTGTAGTCCTTTGGTATCCATGCCCTATCATAAAGGCATCAAACTTCTTGTACCATTGCCTCGGAGCTTGCTTCAACCCATACAAGCTTATGTTGAGACGACATACAAGCTTCTCTTTCCCCTTCTCCTGAAACCCATCTGGTTGCTCCATGTAAATCTCTTCTTCCAAATCACCATGCAGGAAGGTTGTCTTCACATCAAGCTGTTCAATCTCAAGATTCAATCTGGCTGCTATCCCAAGCACAACTCGGATCGAAGACATCTTTACAACAGGAGAAAATATCTCATCAAAGTCTACGCCCTTTCTCTGATTGAATCCCTTCATAACCAATCTGGCTTTGTACCTCGGTTGTGAGCTGTTCTCACTTATTTTTAGTCTAAACACCCATTTATTCTTGAGTGCTCTCTTGCCCTTAGGCAGCTTCACCAGGTCATACGTGTTATTCTCATGCAAGGATTTGATCTCATCTTGCATGGCTGCTAACCACTGATCTTTCTGCTCATGACTAAGAACCTCTTCATACGACTCTGGCTCTCCCCCATCAGTAAGCAACAAATACTCCTGAGCACTGTATCTGGTGGAAGGTTTCTTGTCTCTGGTGGACCTCCTAGGCTGAACAGGAGGTGATGAAACCGTTGTGTCTCTGTTTCATTAGCAAGATCATCATTAAACTCACCATCCTGCCTTGTCTCAGCTCCCCCTTCAGGAGAATCATCTGATTGTGGAGGAACTGGATCTAAATCAACAGGAATCTCAGGTGAAGATTCTGGCATCTCGCCTTTTCCCATATCATTAATGGTCTGGTCTTCAAAGAAGATCACATCTCTGCTTCTGAAAACTTTCTTTTCTACAGGATCCCAAAGTCTGTACCCAAAATCATCATTTCCATACCCCAAGAATACATACTGTTTGGATTTTCCATCAAGCTTCGACCTTTCATCTTTCGGAATATGAACAAAGGCACGACAACCAAAAACTCGTAAATGCTTAAATGAGACATTTTTCCCTGTCCAAACTCGTTGTGGAAGATCACCATCCAATGGAACTGAGGGAGATAGGTTGATCAAATCAACTGCTGTCTGCATGGCTTCACCCCAAAAAGATTTAGGCAACTTTGCATTCGAGAGCATACACCTAACCTTTTCGGTAATAGTTCTGTTCATTCTTTCTGCCACGCCATTCTGCTGCGGAGTCTTCGGAACACTCTTCTGAAATTTAATGCCATGGTCTCGGCAATACTTCTCAAACGGACCCCTGTACTCACCACCATTATCTGCTCGAACATACTTCAACTTCTTGCCAGTCTCTCTTTCAACTCTAAGCTGAAAATCTTTGAACACATCTAATACATGGTCTTTAGATTTCAAAGAAAACACCAAACCTTTCGAGCATAGTCATCAATGAAAGTAACAAAGTACAATGCTCCACCCAAAGACCTATCTTTCATGTAACATACATCTGTGTGAACTAACTCTAGAGGACTGGACTTTCTAGATGAAGGAGAATTTTGAAAGGAAACCCTATGTTGTTTACCATAGATGCAGTCAACACAAGGTTCTAGAGCAGTACCTTTCACCTCTGGAAGAAATTGCTTCTTACCAAGAATCTGCAACCCCTTAACACTCATATGTCCAAGCCTTCTGTGCCAGAGATCAATGGAGGCATTGTCAGTTGCATTCACCTCTCCATTCTTCAACTTTGCATTCAACACATACAAAGAGTTCAACTTCTTTCCTCTAGCAATAACAAGATTCCCTCTGGTAATTGTCCAATGGCAACCACCTTCAGTGCTATAATAACCCTCATCATCAAGTTTACCAACGGAAATAAGGTTCAGACGCATATCCGGAACATGTCTGACATTCTTCAAGACAAGAGTACAACTTGTATTCGTTACTAATGATACCTCTCCCATGCCGACAACATCGCATGAGGCTTGGTTGCCCATTCTTACACAACCAAAATCTCCAGGTGTGTAAGAGGTAAACAAGTGTCTATGAGGCGTCACATGATAAGACGCACCTGAATCACCGAACCAATCACTGTCGTGACTCGCAACATTAATTGTATCATCATCACAGTACACAAATACATCACTGGTAGTTACTACTGCAGTAGTGTCATCATCACTTGATTCATCCTTCTTGCCTTTACCTTTTCTCGCTGCTAGTTCTCTCTTGAGAACCCTGCACTCCCTCTTAAAGTGCCCATTCCCTTGACAATGGTAACACACGACATCTTTCTTGGATGTAGACCGTCCCCTGGACTTGTCATTCCGATCACGTGGCCCTCTGCTTTTACTTTTCCCTCTTCTATCTGACTTTTTTGTCACCAAAGCCTGCGACTCAGACTCAATACTCTGCTCTTTTCTTCTGACTTCTTCATTCATCAAAGCCTCTCTGACCTGATCCAAGGTCAAGACACCATCCTGGGTTGAATTACTGATTAACACTACCAAAGTGTCCCAACTGTCTGGAAGAGAACTAAACAATAACAAAGCCTGCACCTCATCATCCAACTTTAAACCAACATTCATAGCTTGGTTCAACAAACCCTGAAACGAACTCAAGTGCTCATTCATGCTAGCACCATCTTTGTACCTCAACCTGGTAATCTGTTTCAGCGCAGATGACTTATTGTTGCCGGACTTCTTCCAGTACATATTCTGGATTTTCTCCCAAAGTTCATCAGCTTTTGTTTCTCCCAAAAAGTGATGAAACACACTTTGATCAATCCACTGTCGAACATTACCAACAGTCTTCCTGTGCATATCAGCCCACTTTTTATCAGTCATATCACTTGGCCTACCTTCATCTCCTAGAACAGGATCAAACAAATCTTTGCAATATAACAAATCTTCTATTCTAGGCTTCCACATATGATAATTGGATGAAGTCAATTTAATCATCATACCAGTACCCGATGACTCTTCCATTTTATTGGTGTAACACCTCAACTACCGAACCGTAGCTCTGATGCCACTGTTGTGGTAGAAAGGGTATAAATACAACACACCACGGAAGCGAACCCCAAGAAAATCTCCTTTCCTACTACCAATAAAATAGGAAAACCACCTAAATAAGCAACTAATTCAAGAACTGATAAAATAGAGGTACACGAATTTACGTCGAAACCCAAATCGGGAAAAACCACGGGACTGTAACAACAGTCAAATATCCACTATCACAATAATGGGAAAACAGTCTTCACCAACCGGTGGATACACAGGACTTCACCCAAAGGTGGATTACAACAATACTCTTCCACACACACATATCACAAAGTAGGACTGGAAGGATCTAACCAAAAGAGAGCTAAACCGAAAACTAAACCCTACCTTTCTTTCTTTTTCTCTCGTACAAAAACAATGCACGGCTGCCCAAACTTTTCTTCTCTTCTTGGCTGAAAACACACGCCTAAAAATTATATCAAAGCCTTGTTTTTATAGAGCAAAAAAACCTAAAAACAAAAACCGAATTGGAGTGGGTTTTGTTTCCTAAAACCAAAGTCAAATTTGGCTTGGTTTTATTTGTTTCCTTATTGACCCAATTGAGGGGAATACCGGGCCAACAATAGAGAACCAGTTAATGAATTGGAAGAAATGTCGAGCTCCGATATATCTTTGAGATTCCATAAACTCACCAGTAAGCTAGAGTTTAATCCAGTGGAATTGAGATAAAGACATCTCATGGAAGTAATATTTCCTAAGCAATATGGAATCGCACCCCCTACAGTAAGATTTTCTTCAAGATCTAGAACCCCCAATTTCGAGCAACCACAAAAGAGCTTCAGAGAAATGCTAATTTTATTCTTCTCAAGATATAAACGTTGAAGATTCTGCCAGTTTTTAACTGAATCTGGCAATGGCCTAGTCAGCTGATTATCAGAAAGGGCTAATGTATTTAAACTGCTTAAATTTCCAATCCAACTTGGAATGGTACCCTTTATTTTACAATTTGAAGCATATATGTCTTCTAGTGAGGAAGACATATTTCCCACTGAATCAGGGAAAAAAGTATCTAGTGGATTGTCAGACAAGATCAATGATTTGCAATTAGCCAAGGAGGCAATGAAGTTTAAAACAAGAGAGGAAGGATCATTGATCAAATTGTTCTGGTCAAGATCCAAAACTTCAAGTAATCTAAGGTCACCCAAGGAGTAGAGAATAGGCCCTGTGACATTGTTTTCTGCAAGTTCAATAAACTGAAGATTGGAGCAATTTGATAATGAGTTTGGTATAGGTCCACCAATAGTATTTGTGGCCATATATAGACCTTCTAGATTAGGTAGAGTTCGACCAATTGTGGAAGGGAGAGTGCCAGAAAGATGATTTCCGTCAAATGCTATAATTTTTATGTTTGAGATGTTAGAGATATTTACAGGAATCGAGCCAGTTAGCTAAATGTACTCGAGGTGGAGGTTTGACAATTGTATAGCTTGCCCATTTCTTCTGGTATAACCCCTAAAACAAAATTATAGTATATTTCACTGTCACAAACTCTTTTACCAAAAAAAAAAACTGTCACAAACTAAAATATGTATAGGTTCATTAAAATGATTTTGTATGCATCTTTATGATATTTAAAGTTCACAGATACTTATCAGTTGGTCAAACAGAAAGAATCCACTAAGCATAATGTCATTTTGTTTTAATGATTCCTTGAAGCATAGCTCAAGACAACATTCCTCTCCGAAGCATCGTGAAAACAATTTTGTCCTTTTAAAAAGAAAAAGAAAAAAAAAAACTTTGACATACCTGTGAGGTTGTTATTCTTGAAGTCCAAGATCGGCAACATTGACAAATTTCCAATTTCTATTGGGATTTCTCCTGTAAATATGGATGGACTTAGAACGTTTAGAACACCATGTAACTCATAAGGTATAATTCAACCAAGATTGATGTGTAACCATATCAGTTTGTTTATACACATGGTTGAATTTGTTGTATTTTAGCACTTCCTATAATTGAAGCTGTGTAGTATTATGTTATCAATGCACGTAAGATTTATTCGAGCTATATTTATGTACGATCGAGATATAATCAATTGCGTTTTTGAAACACGTATTAAATTTAAGTATTATCTATCTTGATCTAGAGTAAACTACTTAAATGATCTTTTAAGTTACCAAAAAGCTAACTTGGTCCTTAAGATCAACAATTTATTAGGTAAAAGATAGAATTAGATTAAAAAAATTAGTTAATAATTTTTTTAATATTTTAATTTAAAATTAACATACTTTTATTAAATTGTGATTTTTTTTATATTTTAAAGCAATTACAATAACAAATTAGTAAAAATACCTAAACAGAGGCAGCTAATGTGCCATCAAACTTGCCGCAACTTTGATAAGTGATGACCCATGCAAGCAGATTAAAGTTCCATATATGTGTAAATCAGTTGTAGGTTGTCACGCAACAAGAAATCTCCAATTTTATCAGGTCAACTGTTCTCTCTAATAAATAAAACTAGATGCTTGCCCCAGGCAAATGCCCGGGGGCGTGCCACCTAATAAATTGATATGTAAATAATCAAAACTGATTAGGAATTAATTTAGTTTTTGATGAAAATAATTGATTGGCCGAAAATTAATTTTTTCAAAAGTCCTAAATAAATGGAAAAGGAAAATTTCATACACTATCAAATTCAAAATTTGAATGAACGTAGCCATCTGATCTCTTCGTTAATATTGTAAATATATTTTTTATTTTTAAAAGGATGTGACACGTGGTAGAATGATTTATGTAATATGGTCCATTTGGAGCCAAAACATTTTAATAAAAAATTGCCACATTAGCATCCTGTTTTCTACTTTAATAGGGTAAAAGGGATATATCGGTAAAACGTCAAAACTGTTTTATTCGTTTGCAAATGCGCCGTGGTATACTCTGTCGATGAAGTTGGAACTTAGAAGTATAAAATGCAATTAAACCATTCTTAAAATTGATTTGGATTAGCATATACATGATAAGATGAACAATGTTAAATTTAAACAATCACACTTCACTGTCAGCAAACAATAAAAGTAATCTTCTTCTTTTTTCTCTCGATTCTCTCCATCTAACAAATGTAACATGCATGTTGGTGGAAACACCAAATGCATTTTTTGTTTTTATTTAAGTTTAAATTACTTGATCGACCAATTATAGTTGTACATCACTAGAAATTGGAACACTCAGCCATTCTTAAAGTTCATATTGCCCACTTGATACGTCACATGGAGCATAGAACATTGAAGAACCAATTATTCTAAAATTCATATTTGCCATCATGATTGCGTGGCACCTAAACCACGGAATTAAATTAGAAGCAACAATACATTGAATGGCAGGCGAAAAATCAAACTTGGAGTTAGAAATTTTTACGCCCTCCTTGAATGATATCTATTCTAATTTAGGGCAGGTATGCAATTAAGAAGTGGTCACAGCATTCAGAGAAGAGGAATTAGGGTAGGCGTTCCTCTATTCCATGAACGCTAGTGAAGCTCTAGCAATCTATTAAGCTTTAGCCTCAATTGACAAGTTTTAAGAGCTAGATTATGGTAATTACGTTGATAGATTAAGCTTTCATTGATGTTTGAGAGCATGCAGTAGTTGTGTAGAGAATTTGTCTTCGATACGTGATATTTACAACAATTAGAATCTACTACTAAATAGAATTGTCTATATCGAGAATAAGTGATTTTTTTCACATGTTAGATTGTTGTTTTTTGTTAGGTGTAATAGTTTTGAGACTATATGTACTGTATATATATTATATTCATATTGATTTGGGTCCACGGTATGATTAAATTAATGAATTGGGAGGAAAATACAGGATTGGTACACAAGAATTCTTGGTCTAAAAAGATACACGTAATGACGGAATTTAAAAACTAAAATAACTAGGATTTGTCCGAATTTTTCTAATTACTACTTGGGCGTAATTTATAAATGATATGTGTATATGATTTGTAACTTGAAAACAAACAAATATCATGCATAACAAGGCCATCTCAAAAACTGGAAATAGTACTACAAGTGGATATAGATCCATATCTAATCAACAAACAAGGAAATGGAAATGCCACTCATTCACAAAGACACTAATTCATTCCTCTCAAAGCATTTAGTCCCTTTGTGCACAACGTTTCTCGCCTTCTTCATTTTCACTCTCTTTTTCTTCAAATGGCTAAACAATTTTCGATACTCCTCCAAAAACCCCCCACCTTCGCCACCCGGACTTCCCCTAATCGGAAACTTTCATCAGTTTTTCAATTCCATCACACATCGTTCCTTCAAATCATTAGCTGATAAATATGGTCCCGTAATGACGATGAAGTTAGGAAGCAAACCAATCATAATCATCTCATCCGCGGATGCAGCTGAAGAAGTCCTCAGGAAAAATGACCTTGTGTTCGTTGATAGGGCTAAACAAAGCTTCATTGGAAGAATATTTGACAAGGATATGGTTTTTGCCCCCTACGGTGACCATTGGAGGCAAATAAGATTCATTTGTGCCTCTCAGCTTCTAAGTAAAAAAAGGGTTCAATCTTTCAGATCCGTCCTTGAACAAGAAATCAAAAACATGTTGGAGAAAATAAGAGAATCTTGTTTTCCGGGCTCGGCTATAGCCATGAGTGAGATGTTAGCAACCCTAACTACTAATGCAGTTTCTTTGGCAGCCATTGGGAGAAAATACTCGGAAGAACCTAACGGGAATAAGCTTACGGCGCTGTTTAAGGAGTGCACCATGATCGGCGGATATATAAACCTTGCTGATTGTATCCCTTGGTTTGGATGGATTTATCGCTTCAGTGATATGGACGCTAAGGTGTCTAGGGTTGCAAAAGAGGTTGATGAATACATGGAGAATGTTTTTGACCGCGGAATCAAGAAGCAAGAGAAAATAGAAAAAGGTGAAGAAAGTCATGAAGAAGGGCACCACAATTTTCTGGATGTCTTGATTGGATTCTACCGAAAAAATACCACTGGTACTAGGATTGATCGCGATTCCGTTAAAGGTGTTATTATGGTAATTTTCATCCTAATTTACTCATTACACATGAAGGCCTAAAAAAAAGAATCAGAATATGTAGTTTTTCTTTTACTATTCACGCTTTCTTTTGTATTGATTCGTAGATTAGATAATACAGTGTAAGTGTTGGTACAAATTTCCATTTGTTGTGGCATGCAGAATATGGTGGTGGCTGGACCGGACACTACATATTCACTTTTAGAGTGGGCGATGGCGGAGCTGTTAAGGAACCCGAGCTTTATGACTAAGTTACAAAATGAGGTAAGAGAAATTAGGGTTTGCGAACCAAATCAAATGATCACTGAAGACCATCTAGGAAGACTTCCTTACTTAAAAGCAGTTATCAAGGAAACTCTTCGCATGCATCCTTCGCTCCCATTGATTCCTAGGTTATCAAGAGAGTCCGTCAAAATCATGGGGTATGACATAGAAGCTGGAACTCCAGTCTACATTAATGTTTGGGCGATTGGACGAGATCCTCAATCATGGAATGATCCAGATGAGTTTCGGCCAGAAAGATTTATAGATAACCCTATTGACCTAAAAGGGCAACATTTTCAATACATACCATTCGGTGCTGGAAGGAGAATGTGCCCTGGCATTGAGTTTGCGTTAGCAACCGCTGAACTCACTCTTGCGAATTTGATGCGTGCGTTCAATTTCTCATTGGCTAATGAACTTCAACCAGAAGAATTAGACATGAAGGAAGCTGGGGGTATGGTGGTTCCCAGGGAAAACCCTCTCCTTCTTATTCCGAATCTTCCAAATTAGACCCAATTCTTTAATTGTATAAATCGTTGCAAAGCTCATGTTTTAAATAATGTAAACTGTTACAAGGTTGAAGTTTGTTCTGAATTATATGAAATCAAGAAGAAAATAATCAAAGTTATCAATTACTACCTCTGTCTAAAAAAAAAAATAGTCCACATTCAATATAATATTTGTACTAATTTTAATACAAATTTCAAAAATTAATGTAAATTATTTTTTTAAGGACAGGAGAGGAGTATTATATTATTGATGATTTACTTACTTGAAGAGGTTAATTGCTTACTCTTTTTTTTCTTTTTTTAGGGCCCTGAGATTAGTCACAACTCACAATTAATGGGATGCTTTCAGACCAAATATATATTGATTATCCGGTTTAACGAGTTTCAGTTAGTTAACAAACGAAATTGAAAAATAAAACTACCATTGTAGCAATTAGTCAGTCAAGCTACAATGGCAATTTTATTTTTGAAATATCTTTCTCCGTGAATGATATCGGTTCTAGTTCAGCGCCAACTATGCAATTAAGATGGTCACGGCATTCAGAGTAGAAGAATTAGGGGTATGCATTTCTCTTCCCTCGCCATCCGGAAATCTAATAGAGCTTTTGCCTCTAAGCTATATGTTAAGCTTTAGCCTCAATCGGTCAAGTTGTAAGTGCTAGGTTTTGGTAATTACGTTGCTACATTAAGCTCGTAATGTGTAGAGGAGGGAGAAAAGGGTGGTGGAAAGAGGAATTAGTCTGACCTGATTTGAGGTAAATTTAAAATAATAATAAAAATTTATTTTGGCTGTTAATTACTGTTTTGGCAATAACAACAATCTCAAACACATTACTCCGTCGTCCTACCAAGAAAAAATACATCCATGTTCTATTAGACTACATGCATTGGAAACCCACTCACAGCGAGTTAAGTTATATGGGCATCTAAAAATGAAATGATAAACCCAACTGGAATCGTCTTTAAGGTGATGATCTTTGTCCTCAATTGTTCTACACAAGTTTTGATTAGTAGAAGTGACAACAAATTTGTGATTTGTAATAATGTAGGGGCAAATAGTGTTTACAGTGGATCAAAAGATCTCTAATCCCTCCTGAGTGGAAAGCTTGAGCAAATCTAGTTACTAAGAAGAAAAGCAGCTACGGACATAAATTGAAACAAACAATATATGTTTAATTAACATACACCTCTAATGCCACTCATTTGTATATGGTAGAAGTTGAAGTTTGATCTTGTTCAAACTTGCAAGAACTTCTTCTATGTTACTTCTTTCTCTTGGAGACACACGTGTACAAGCCAGAGCAACATCCATGATTGACAAAATGTTGGCAAGTATTTCATGAGAGTGTTGATTGAATGTTGATAGCAAATCAACATCGATGACTGCGGTTAATTTATCAGGCATGCATCTTTGCACCCAACTCTTTAAACTCAAATTTTCACCGAACATTTCATCACTAGGACTCTTTCTTGTGAAAATTTCCATTATCATAATCCCAAAACTATAAATGTCACAACTTGTCGATATTAGGCCTTCTGAAGCATACTCTGTAAGAAAATAAACAATGTATCAATCTTTATAATTTTTTACAATAAACGACTTAAGAACTTGCAAACTTCATAACTATACATAAAAAACAAATAAATAAATAAGTAGACCAATGAAAATAAAACCTCACCTGGGGCAATATAACAAAACGTAGCTAACGTCTTGGTATATGTAATGTTGTCTTCTCCACCCAACAATTTAGAAATGCCGAAATCACTAATATGGGCAACCATTTCTTCATCTAGGAGGACATTACTAGGTTTCACATCACAATGAGCAACAGATGTCAAATTACCAACATGAAGATATTGTAAAGCACAAGCCACATCAATTAGTATGTCCAATCGTTGCATAACATTGAGAATACACTTATTTGAATGCAACCAACTGTGAAGACTCCCATTGGGCATGTAGTCTAGAACCAATGCCTTAAAGTCGGGGTTCGAACAACTACAAATAACTTTGGTTAGGTTTCGATGGCGGAGGTTGCATAATACCTCACATTCTTTGTCAAAACTCTTGAATGACCCTTCTAACTGCGAATTAAATACTTTAACAGCTACGACCGAACCATCTTTAAGAACTCCCTTATAAACAGATCCAAAACTTCCAGTACCCAACAAATTATCTTGATTATATCTATTTGTAGCTTGTAAAAGCTCATAATAAGATATTCTTTTATGCGTAAACAAGGAGAAACTTTCTTGATCATCGATGGTAGTTTTACCTTTATTCTTGTACTTTAGATAGACAAAAACCAAGCATGCGGTACCAACAATGGATATCGTCACAACCAAAATTATCAAAATTTTATGCTTATTTATGCCACTTGGCCTGTGCTGAGTAGGACGATTTGAGCATGGTGGGACATGAAATCTTGAAGCTCCACATAGTGCTTGATTCGAAATGAAAGATTCAGCTGTAAAGTTGATAAAAGGACCTTGTGAAGGAATTTTACCTCTCAAATTGTTAAATGAGACATTGAAAAAAGTAAGGTCTTGAAGTTTTTCTAATGATAGTGGAAGGGAACCAGATAAGAAGTTGTACGAAAGATCTAGTTGTTCCAAACTCAACATACTACCAATGGCCTCAGGAATATGTCCTTCCAACTGGTTGTGAGCTAAATATAAATTCTGCAAGTTTTCTAGATCTCCGATAGTCCTAGGAATATCACCTGAGAAATGATTACTTGAGAAATCCAACAATGTTAACCTTTTCAAGTTATTGATTTCAGGAGGTAGAGAACCAGTTAATGAATTCGAAGAGAGGACGAGCATCAATAAATCTTTGAGGTTCCATAAACTCACAGGTAGGCTAGAGTTTAATCCATTGGAACTTAAGTAAAGTACCCTCATGGAAGTAATATTCCCTAAGCAATCTGGAATTGCACCCCCAATTATATAATTTTCTTCAAGACCTAAAAGTCCCAAGTTCTTGAAAGCACAAAAAAGTTCTAGAGAAATACTCATATTGTTCCCACCAAGATACAAGCGTTGAAGATTCAGCAAGTTTTTCATTGAACTTGGCAGCAACCCACTCAATTGATTATCAGCAAGGTCTAAAGTATTCAAACAACTTAAATTTCCTATCCCACTTGGAAAGTCACCCCTAAGTTTGCCAGTCTCTCCATAAATGCCTTCAACCGTAGAAGAAAGATTTCCTATGGAATCAGGTATAACACCATACAGTGGATTATTGCCGAATTCAATGACTGACAAATATTTACAATTTGCCAATGAAGTTATGAAGTCCAAGGTAAAAGAGGAAGGATCACTACTTAAATTATTATTGGAGAGATCTAAATCCTTAAGCAAACTAAGGTCTCCCAGTGATTTGGGAAAAGACCCCTGGAAAACATTTTCTGAAAGTTCAATGACCTGAAGATTGGAGCAATTTGCGATTGAATTGGGTATAACTCCACCAATGATATTTTTACCGAGATAAAGACCTGCTAAATTAGGAAGATTATAACACATTGTTGACGGAAGATTGCCAGAAAGATGATTTCCAGAGAGAGTGATCGAGATTAAAGTAGAAATGTTGAAGACATCTACTGGAATAGAACCAGTTAACTTGTTGAAGCCGAAGTTGATTTGTTGAATATTGGATAACTTGCTGATCTCTTTTGGTACAACACCTACCACAAAATTATTCATATGATATACTAAAAGAAATGTATGTAGTTTCACAAAATTCATTGTGCATATCGTAATTGATACTTATTGTACGTGTTCAAAGCTATAATTTAATTCGCATCTCATTTTATCCATGTGATAACCCCATATGTCATGCCAATAATTTCATATGCAAAGTTATATACATATATTTAATCATTTAATTAGCTCATCCGTTCTAAAATAATATTATATGCCCACTAACCCAAAATAATTATCCAGTTAGATTTTCACTTTTTGTACAATTCATTTTAGTACAGAAGGAATATTAGACAATTTATACACGGTTTAAAAAATATTTTAATTATGTATGTGACTGTCATTAGAATTATTTTCTTGTAAGGGTAATTTTAAAAATATTGGACCAAGTTAATCTGCCTTGAGAAAAAAAGAAAACCATACTTATTTTAAAGTTCTTAAACTTTGTTTATGAACACTTATTTCAGAAAGAATAGAGTACTTCTTCTGGCATACCTGACAGATTGTTTGTAGTGAAGTCTACTATCCGCAACATCGACAAATTTCCTATCTCGATTGGGATGGCACCTACAAATAGGGGACCTTGATTTAAATACAAGCAGCCCACGGAAAATATGGTGTGTATTATGGGAAACAGAGAATATTCAATAAGGTGAATGTCAATGCGTATTATTTGAAAGTGGAAGGGATTTTACTTGGTGGATTGGGTGGCTATTACTTTAATGATTCTAATTTAGACCATAAAATTAATAAAATTATACTCTCTGTCCTAAAATTATTGTCCAGATTGAAATGTCACTTTTAATATAATTTGAACTAAAAATAAAAATCTAAATAGGACAATAATTTCCGGACGGAGGGAATGTCAAAATTTGATACCTTCCAAGTGGTTTTCCCACAGTTCAAGCATCTGAAGCCCCTTCAAGTTTCCAATTTCTCTTGGAATGCCTCCAGTAAGAGAGTTTGAAGATAAGTACAGCTTTTCAAGTTCCAAACACTGGCCAATGCTTGATGGAATCTGACCAATTAACCCCGCCCCTTGTAAATCGAATCGTTTGAGCCTGGGAAGATTCCGGCACAAATCCTCCGGGAGGGTTCCAGCTGAAAAGTCATTAGCACTAAGGGAAATCCTTCCCAGAGAGGACATGTTGAATATCCCTGCCGGAATGTTCCCCTGAAGATGATTGTACGAAGCGCTTAACGTCGTTAACTTGGACATGTTAGAGATGGATGGCGGGATAACACCGGTGAAGCTGTTGTTCATGAGGGACAAGTATTCAAGCTCTTGGAATGAGGTAATCCAAGGTGGGAATTGTCCATTGAGATTGTTGAAGCTCACATCAAGCACTTTCAGTCGACGAAACAGCGCAAACTCATCGGGTAATTCCCCGTCGAAATTGTTGCTGCTAATGTCCAGAGAAACCATGAATGATAGGTTCCCGAGTTGGGGAGGTATGGTGCCGGTGAGATTCATGTAGGAAATATTTAAGGCGGTGACTCTGAGATGTCGAGACCCGCAAGTGACGCCAATCCAATCACAAACAGAGGAACCAAGTGACCAGTTTTTGGCCAATATATGATTAGAAGGTAAGTCGGAGATGCTGGATTTCAGGGCAAGAAGAGCAACCTGATCCGTGGTGATATTGGTAGCCGAGGAAAGACATGGCACCAGCAGAAGATGAAGGAGAAGAAGTGATATCAGAGACCAATAATGCTTTGGAACATTAGTAGTGGGCATCATGGTGTATTGTTTTGGATGTGCAAGTTGACAGGGAAAATGTCCTAGTGCTGAGCTCTCTGACACGAGAAAGCTATATGTAAAGTTCATTTGGGTCCTAAACATACATTATGAAGGCCATTCATGTCAAGAAAAAAATACCAAAATGAAAGTGCTACGAATTCGCTAAGATGGTCTTTTTGGTAATGTCAAAGTTACATTTCATTATTGTATCCCAATATGATGGTTTTTTTATTAGGGATAAAGATAATTACCCCCTGAGTTTTGTCCCAAACCCTAAAATCCCCTGAGTTTTTTGAAAGGACAATTACCCCCCTGAGTGATGTCCATAATACCATTATACCTCCTTTGACACCTGAAAAGACCAAAATACCCTCAATACTCGTGGGACCCAATTTTTTTCTCCAATTTTTTGCTTTTTTTCTACTTTATTTAGTTTAATTATTTTTAGTCTAGTTTTCCTTTCTTTTTTTATTTTTTTCTACTTTATGTAATTTAATTATTTTTAGTCCAGCTTTTCTTTCTTTTTTTTTCTTTTCTGCTTTATTTAGTTTAATTATTTTCAGTCCAGTTTTTCTTTCTTTTTAAATTTTTTATTTTATCTTTTAATCCAAAAATAAATAGAAAATATATTTGGTTTTGCCTAAATTCATTCCAGATTTGTAAAATCATATTTCATACTATTTTTGTTTTCTCATTTTACTTTGAACTCTAGATATCTCTCAACTGAATTAATTACTTGATAAACCTGATGAGGGATATCTATAGTTTAAAGAAAAACTAGGCTTGTCTTTGTCGCGCGTTGCGCGACCAGTTTGTATTATATAATTATTATACTGTGTTCGTAACTAAAAAGTAATGTTACAGAGAAAGTATAAAAATAGTTTGTTTTATTGAATTCTATGTCAATAATTTGAATTACAATTACTTAATCTTTTTATTATGAAATGTAGTTTGTTTTTTTATCTTTAACTTTACTTTGTATTCTATTCGTTTCTTTAGTCGATAAGACTATTTGTATTCACCAAATCGGGAAGAAGTAAAAGGTAGTATTCGAGCTTTATGAATTTCTGTATTAGGAGCTCATAAATTAGGATCAGTTGCTACAAAAGAATCAAAATAGTAGCCTTAGGAGGCGAAAAAGCCTTGTTTTCTCGGGTAAAGTGAGCTTGGAATGAACCAATTTTCCATTGTTTTGGGCTTGTCTTGACAGTAATGGTGGCATTACTTTAAATGCAGCAGTGCAAAGAATAATAATAATAGAACTATTTGTATAAAGGCTAGATTTTAAGCTCGCACAGGATTATCAAAGAATCACTTGTCAACACTACCATCAGACCAGGTTTGTGGGAAAAGGTTTGACATATGGAAACATTGGTGCAAAAAATAAAAAAATGGAGACCAGAAACTAATGCCTAATTAGCAGTAAAAATAAAAGTATAGGGATGTACGCCAAAAAAATTCCAAACCTATTAGTTGATCATGACTTCACTGAGCAAGAGTCAAGTAGTTGCATAAGATCAAACTCAATGAAATTATTTTTTTCCATACTATTTGTTGAGCAAATCTTAAGAATCAACTAAGGGCGTGTGAAGCATAGTTCATAATTGTTTGGCGAGCAACTGAAGAATATGCACCAATGAAAGTTGTTCCAGATAGATAAAGAAATTATGTAGTAGATGATAAAAAGCAAATTAAGGATAAACAATAGAAACATTCATGTGCAAAGTTATAGAAGAGTGTTTCCTTCTCTGAAAGGTCTTCTAGAATAATATAATAGATTCATGTTTTTTACACTTAGTGGGTAAAGAAGCTCAAAATACTTATCTTTTTTCTCACTATTGACAACCAAATGACTGTTGGCATAGATTGCAAGAAGCATAGTAAGGTAGAGAAGCAAAAGCCACCAGAAAGTCTCACGAAACAAAGTTTTTTTAAATGGTACGGAGACTGTGATTATCTTTTCCTAATGTACCTACCCCTTTCAATTGCAAATTTTTCGCTAGTTTTATCTGTATCTGATACAATCAGTGAAGTTCCTAAACCTGAAGAACAAGAAAAAGGCAATGAGCTTTACATATGAAGTAATGCAGTATGCTCTATGCTTAGTCAATCCAAAGTAGAAACGAGTAGCTTCTCCCCAATGCATTCCTAATCATCAGGTACTAATATTAAGACAAGTAGCAAGTGTCCAGCATTTTATTTGCCTGGTAAAGCAAAATTTACCACAAATAAACTATCATAATTAGGACATCAAGTTAGTGGCTCATTAATGCATGTAGCAAATCCGTATGTTATTATTTTTTTCCCTTACACCAAGAGCCTTATCATGCTACTAAAGTAGCTCATCATTATATTCCAAATTTTTAAATAATCCAGCATACATATCAAACAGAGCCTAGGCGTATTAATTAGAGAAAAATATTCAAATCTAGACATGGAGGTAATTTCTCAAGGCTAATCAACTTTTTTGAATCATAGACATATAAAGAGATGGTATTTAGTTCTTTATTATAAAACAGCCAAATATTAGAAACATAAAGTCAGAAAAAGAGTACATTACAATATCACAAGTATATAAAGTCAGTAAAAGAAGTACAAATTTTGGTGCAGATATCTAGTGGAGTGAGGATTTATGACAAATTTTGGTCCCAATTTGATGCAATGTTGTTGCGATGGTATACTAAACTAAATTTGATTAGTCTTCCACGCGATTCACTTTGTTGACAGTAAAGGAACCTCTGTAACTCAATTAATTTTAAAGTGATTGATAATGTATTTTCATATAGATCACATTTAGGGAACAACAACAAAGAATGTCTACCAGTTCAATAAACCAAAATTTTATGTGTTCAAACCTAAGGCATAAAAATGCCTCCCTTCCACTTCGATTTTCACTTTTCAATTAAATAGGTTCAAAACAAACCAGGTTTGGTGGAGACAGTATACAACACACCAATGCAAACATGATCATATCTCCAAAAATAGTAAGTCACGAGAACTTTTACCAAGGTTGAAAGATCTGCACCTTTGTCCAACTAACATAAGATAAATTGACATGAAACCAATTGATCAACAAATATTCCATATTTCATGTACATTTAAAATTGGTTTGAAACACAAAAAAAAGAACAAACATTCGGCCAATTCAATAGGATTCAAAAAAAGAAATTTTAAAAAGGAATTATCTTGCAAAGGTCCTTATAACATGGCTCAGGTTCCACAATTCTGCTGACAATATCTCTCTATTTCTCACTCTCCTTAATATTCTTCATATTCTGAAAGAGTTCAATTCAATGACTAACCGACGACAACCTAAAACAAACACAATTACATGAAATTCTGCTAGATTAAATAGAATTCAACAACTCAAACATTCTCGTAAAATCCTACCTTTCCATCCAAAATCATAACCATATTTGAATATTGAGATCAAAACTTCAAATTCGTTTTAATACAAAAGATATGAAAGGGAAAAATAAAATCAGTATTACCTATGGTAGGAGAGAGATCTTTGAAGGTACCTGGAGTAAAGCTGAGCAAAGGACTACTTTTTTCTACTCCAGAATTCTCAATCAACAATAACTTGAACAAATAATCAAATTCTTACGAGGACGACGATGAAGACGATACCATCTCCACGAAGTTTAATTGGAACATCCATGAAAAAAATAATAGATTAGACAACCTGAAAAATAAGAAAAGATTAGGACCAAGTGAAATTTAGTGAGCATAGACAAGATTAGATATCATTCAAGATTTCATGATGCAGTAACTATTTCCCTATTGAATGGCAAAAGCAGAATCAAAAAAAATCATAATAAAAAGAGAACTACACCAAAACAAACCTTTTGGAGAATAAAACAACTCAGGAACTGCGGAGAGCCCCAGCAAAAAAGTCCTTCTGATTGTCCTTGGCATTTGATGTGGTTTGGTGTCCTCTTTTTGCGCGGAGAGCTCTCAACAGAAACAAATAGTGGAAATTATGCAATTCTGGTTTCTGCCCTATTAGAAAGTTCTGCAATATAAACACCAACAAAAATCAACAAAAAAAAGAAGAAGAAAAGATTAGGAGTAGACTCTAAGGAAAAAAAAGCAGCAGCAATAGTACAGAAAGACCGAACTTTTTTTTTCCGGTGAGTGAGTTGGTGGCACAATCCACGGTAGTGGGGAGAGAAGAGGAAAAAACCCTCTGGAAAATCCGATGAGCGACTCTTCACAGCAATAGAATTAGAGCCAAAATAGAAAGAAAAAGAAAAGGTAGAAAAAGTAATGTATATAGAACAATGTTCAAATCTTGTCTAGCACCACGATCTATGATCGATCAAGATTAGAGCCCCATTCTCTTCTCGTTACTGCTCTTTATCTTCGTCCCCAACAGCCTCACCGATGAAGGTTGCAAAATCAAATCTATGGACTCAATCGATAAACATTCTGACGATAAACTTCAACAACTCGGCACGGAGGTTATGGTGATTAGCGGCGGCAATTCAATTTTGAAGGTGGTCTTTAGCGGCAGTTTGATATTTAGCCACAGCTATAATTTTAGTCGCGGCGGAGGAACTGCGGTTCCAATTCGTGTCTGTAATAATTTTTTATATAAAATCCTTCGGTCCCAAAAAACGGTGGGGGTATCAGCATAAATAGAGGTCTTAAAAAAGAGGGAGGAGGCTAAAAAACAAGAAGGAAAAAAGGAAAGATGAAACGCAAGTATAATCTATGATCATTTTGTTTCGGAGATTCAACAAAATTTCTTTTTAAAAAGAAAACATTGATACAAAAACGCCGTCGTTTTCACTGCTGGGAATAAAATAAATGTATAAAACGACGTTGTTTTGATATCTGGGGATTTTTTTTTACGAAAAATTCAGATTTTTTGTCATTCATTAATTTGAAATTGAATTTATGCATTCTCCTTTTTGCCCCCAATAAGTTGCTGACGTCATATCAAGACCATCCGACGTACGAGATCAATTTGAAGGTGCCCCTGAATATTTCTTGGGCATCTAATTTCTTGCCTACTGTACCTTTATATTAAGTATAAGGATGAAAAAACAACAATAGCATGAAATATGATTTTATAAACTTGGAATAAATTTAACTAAATATATTTTCTATTTATTTTTTGATTAAAAGATAAAATAAAAAAATTAAAAAGAAAGAAAAACTGAACTAAAAATAATTAAACTACATAAAGTAGAAAAAATTTTAAAAAAGAAAAAAAAAGTGGACTAAAAATAATTAAACTAAATAAAGTAGAAAAATTTTAAAAATAAAGCAAAAAATAGGAAAAAAAATGTTGGGCCCCATGCGTATTGAGGGTATTTTGGTCTTTTTGCATGTCAAAGGAGGTATAATGGTGTTATGGACATCACTCAGAAGAGTAATTGTCCTTTCATAAAACTCGGGGGGTTAGGGTTTTGGACAAAACTCAGGGGAGTAATTGTCCTTACTCCTTTTTATTATGTTATTTTTGTATAAACAAATACGATAATCACTTAATAAAATATACTATTAGTGTAATAGTAATATCATGAAGGAAACTAGGAAAGCGTATTGTCTTGCCTTATTTTAGCTAGCCCCAGTGTCAATAAGTCAACTACGTTAGTGCCCGGTGTTTATTTTTTCCGAAACAAACAGAAAAAGAATGCAACTTGCTAGTTTCTGTCTCTCCTTTTTTTTTCCCTTGTTTTAGTGCAACTAGCAAGTGGACTAATGGAGGTTGAATTTGACGTTTTAATCCACGTGGGAACATATTAGCACGCCAATAAAGAGAAATTATTTTTAAAAAAAAAATAGAGAGAAAAAAAAACTTTTGAGAGAAGTTCTAGGCAAATTCGCACCGTGTCTATAGGGAGCGTAATAAGCATTTTGGTGTTTTCTTTCCGCTCCCTCTTACTTCAGAATAGATCATATAGTCTCTCAATTTGGACATAAAATCCATTTCGTTATCTTATGTTTGAAAAAAAAAAAAAAAAAGAAAACTTCAGTAATTAAACAATTTTTTTTATCAATTGAAGAAGAAGCAATCCTTAAGAAAGTTAAGTTCTTCATTTTCCTTACCAGAAAACATCAAATATAATAGAGATATTTGTATCTTCCTGAATGAGCTAGCAGAAAGAAAACCAAATATTAATCAGTTGAGAATTCGTCTTACCAAATCTAATTTCTCTACACGATCTCTTTTATTCTCAACGAACGTCTAAAATATCCTCGACTCCTTACAAAAATAATAACAAGCAATTTAGTGATCACCTTAATTACGAAACTTTAATTCTACAATATTTTTCTGAAGAAGATGGACTAAAGCGAATTAAGACAATAAATTCAAAGACTATTCTACTAAGAGTGATGATACACATCTCACCTTACATGGCATTTAGTTATTGGATGAAATTTAATAAGTTAACTAATTATTAGATAAAATCTAATAAGTTAAATTAATTTATTTTTTTTGTTAAATTTATTTACTTGTTGAAGACTTTTATGTCTAAATTTTAAAATAAGTAGACCCTAACCAATTATTTTAGTTCAATAAACTAATTTGTTTTAGTTTAATAAACGATATCATCCATCATCCAGAATCTTGATCACCCAATCATAACGATTCTATTAATTTTAGAGAAATCTAAACCCAGCGGCCGCGGCCGCCACCTTAAAACCATGCACCATGAATGAAATCACCATCATTAGTTTTACAATTGCCTTTTGCTTCTTCCTCTTTTTCCTTTTTTCTTTGTTTTTTTTTTCATGAAACAACCATGAAACCCACCATTTTGTTGAACTTGTTTGTGACTTGTGAGTCATCTTTCAAAGGGATTCCTATCAAAGGTTATTATAGAACGTCTTTTCTCCCAACCTTCCCTTCTATTATTACTTTTCCAGGGTTATACAAGTCTATGTATCTTTCAAGCTGGATTAATTATAAGTGCACAATTATCAGTGTGTACGAGTCTCGTAAAAGACTAGATTTTTTTTCACATAAAATAAAAGGCAAAAAACCAAAAAAGAATGACGAGCACCTTTTTTTCCCGTAAACCTAAAGGGAAAAAACCCCAAATTTCTTCCCGTAATTTTCCAATCACATGAAATGGAGGAGCGGAGAATTGCTAATTAGCCTCTTTTGTTGTCGTTATATTTCATCTAATCGCTCACCATGTTTTTCCTCCATCTAATCAGTCAGTAAATTAATTTTCTACTAGTCCGAATCTGTCCGTTAATAATTATTGTTTTACTAACCATGTTTTATCTTTCGGTGAATTGATATACTCCCTCCGTCCCATAATTATTGTCCAGTTTGAATTTTTAATTTTAATTTAAATTATACTAAAAATGAAATCTCAAACTCAACAATAATTTTGAAATAGAGGAGTACTAATTATAGTTTGTTGTTCGAGAATTGCGATTTCCATGGTTCACGCAGAAATATTGAACCATGTAGATTTATTATCCATTTGCTATGTGGGGCTTTCATCATAAGACTATCAGTTCAAGATTAACTCGATGGGTTGTAGGAGGTAAGTCCATCAACATGACTCCATTTGCATAGATTTTTCCACGTTAACATAGATTAACTTTTATATCTAACGGTAAAGTTTTAGCTACCGCATCATCCACCAAATGGTTGTGTTTATTTTTGAAAAAAAATAAGTTAAAGAACCATTTAATTAATTAATTTCATGTAATTGGAAAGAGTTAATCATCAAGGTTTTGAATTGACTAGTATGGCAAAAAGATTGGTGACGCCTCTTGTGCTTTCATTTTTTTCTTTTCTCGGCTTCTTTGCGCTTTATTTTTTTTTTTAATATTATGTACCTGATGTTTGAAATCTTCTTTTCTTTTCTCGGCTTCTTTGCACTTTATTGCTCTTTTTTTATTTTTTTTTTTTAATATTATGTACCTGATGTCCGAGCTAATCGAGCTTCATTGTTTGTTACTTTTAACATGGTTTCTTCTGTTTAGCCACATACTCTTTGCGTTTATGTACCATTTTGTCAAAATGATAGCAATATTTAAAAACAAACGTGTGAATATTTTTAGTGATGATAGGACGATGTCTAGCCACTCACCCGGAATGTTTTTGATTAGTGATGATGGACGATAACTATTGATATAAAAATTTTGAACAGCTTTCTTGTGAAAGAAATTCTCCTGCAAAATAAAGTAGACAGAGACTGGTTCGTGGAAATTTATTCTCAGACCATACCATTTTCGCACAAGCTGTTCTGCCCATATAGACAAGGTTATGCAAAGAAACAATCAAAAACTTTCTTTTATTTTCACCTCAACAATATTGTGTCAAATAATCAAGCCTCATTTTACCATGGATTTTAATACATTAGAGGGGAGAAGAAAAAAAAAATTGATAATAAGGAACGAAGTAAAGGTAAAAAAAAAGGTAGAGGAATTTTGCTAGAAGACAAAATCTGTGGGACAAAATGAATACACTAAAATGAGATTTCACAGGGAGCGTGAAATGTTCTTCCACGACAAATGGCTTCCAAGTTTTCACCAGCATATGAACAGAGGGGTGAGACCTCCACACCTGAAGTCATCAATGAGAAATGAATAAACCATGTGTAGATTGCACACTAACTGGTTCATGTAATACATCCCGGGAATGCAATAAACAATCAAAAATTGCTTATATAGGGTGTCTGTGTCAAGTGATTATCTTAAGATGTCAGAAAATATGATAAACCACGAGAATTACCAGTCGCGTATAAGGGCACTGAATGAGTCAAGAAACCCCCGGCTGCAACAACCCAACGAGCATGGAGGCGGAGAAGCAACAGTCTGGCACTGTCTGGAGTGTCAAAATTAGATCCATTGGCATTTTTCACGGGTGCAAATTCCTCTTCACGTAGTACCTATATTTTGGGAAACACATGTTCAACTACTCAATATTTATGTGTTTATTACACTTCTGTCATAATTCAAAAGCTAAACACTAGTGAAAATAACAAAATGATAAGTATAATTAATTTGTCAAATATCTCAAAATATGATTACCTCAAACAGAGCAGTAGAAGGTGCATACGGAAATGCATCAAATATAAATTGCTCCAGCTTGTACCCTAAAGTTTGCCCATGGATTGATGGGATTTTTTTCTCAGCAAGATGATAGCTGCACTCACGTGGTAATGCTTTCAAGATCAGTGTGGTAATCTTACAAGTTTTTGTCCATTTCATCACCCACAAAACAGTTCCAATTTATATTCAGATACTGTGTAAGAAAAATGCTTGAGAAAGTAATAAAGATGCATAAGGGAGACCAGAAGGCAGAGTGGGAGAGGAAGAGAGATTAGCAGCAGAAAAAATGGCAGAGAGAAGCAAACATTTTTGCCCAAGTAAAACCAAAAACCTCAGTAGCTCTCACAAGGAAGAAATAGGACAAACACATTCCATTTCAAATTTGTCCAGTATTTTATGGATTTTGATAAGATATTAATAAAGAAACGAAAAATAAATACTTTGTTCTAAATATTCTTTCATCTTTGTGCAAAGCGTGCATAAATAAGGCAGAAAGCCAGAAAGCAGCATAATTACAAATATACGAGGAAAAAAGGACAGAATGCAAATTTCGTTCAATTTCCAGATTTCAAGAATGATGAAACTCTCAGCCACTGAGCAAGGCTAAAGATAAAAAGTAAGACAAACCAAAAAAGAATTCTGTGCTAGCAATGCATAATAAAGATTTTAAAAATTGATTAAGTTAAGAGTGTAAGAAAGATGACATTACTTACATGCTGTCTTTCTCCAAACCATTTGCCACTTGATTCAGAAAATCCAAAGAGAACATGTGCAGGCAAACCTGGAAAGCAATCAAGAACAACCACTTTAATGAATATACGAGATTATACAAGATTATAGTTAAAGACGACCAGACACAAGAAGTGAGAGAGAACATGTTGTGGGAAAGAAATATTGTAAAAAGTAACTATTAGGATATACAAAGGAAGGCACCGGGACAATACGTTGCTCCAACAGAAGCGAAGGCGGCCAGTCTGCTGATTTATAGCACTAGACAGTGACTGGTCCAACTCAGAGTATTCAACCACGGCGAGTGGCCCACCCTTCCCGCGCCGCACAAACACCCCAACCTTTTCTTGCGGATATGCCTAAACAAAAGCAGGCAAAACAGATGAATAAACTAATCAAGAGACCAGAAAAGCCAAACACAAACGATGGTGGCAGTCACATTGTTCACATTACAACTTATTAAAGATGTGCATCAAGAACCACATTCACTGAAATGCCAACTTTGACAGAATACATACGACCAAAGTAAGATTACATTAAAAAACCTGACCAACCCTAAAATGTACATGAGATATTTGAAAAATTAGATTGCATTCTACCACAACAAGATATTTTAGTTGGTCCAATCTGTGCAGCTAAAACAAAAAAATTGAAAACCATAGGATACCGTTGCTATTCCATTTATAAAACAAAAGCCAAGAATAATGTGTATGAGTTCATCAAGTATTCAATTAAACATACAGTTATCCGATAGGTATAATAAAAACTATAAAGACCCGGAAATTGAATGACAGCCTAGTGGTTAGGTTGTTGTCTTTCCTGGTAATAGACCAGGGTTTGATTCCCGCCAGGGGTTGTAAGGGGGGTTTTACCCACATTTACGTGGGGTCTACTGGGGGTGGATTTTTTATATATATATATAAAAAAAAAAAAAAAAAAGCTATAAAGACCTACTTCGAAACAACGTTTAGCAAGAGAAAAGTTTTGCATAAATAATGTTAGAAGTAGATTCTTTCCTATTATAAAATGGCTGCAGAAAAGAAAGTAGACTACAGCCTAAATTCATTCCAGTTCAAGTGTAAATATCTGTAAAAGCTAGCAGACTAAGAAGATGAAGATGATTGATAGAGAACATTTATATAAAACTTACCTTCCGGACAACCTTTGCGGCAGTCGCCACACCTCTATCAATAAAATAACCCAAGAAAGTTGGATCAGCAACCCGAACCTATTTATTGGACGTCAAATTTAATCAAGATTTTTTAGTTAGAACATAATTCAATCAAATATTGAGTGAGTTGGAGAAAGGATGTACAGGGGAGAAAAGAACGACAAACATACCAGAGCATTGTCAACTCCATAGCAATCAATATATTTAATACCTCTTGCAGACATATCTTCCAACAATCTTGAGAATTTCAACGCTGCCATAGACATTCATTACTCAATTAAGTAAAGTATACATTGAGTCTATTCAAAGAAGACTGAACAGTAAAAGTTCAACAATAGAGCCTACAAATTATAATTGATTATACTCACAAAAGAAAAGGAGGATTGTTAGTGATTACCTGTAAAAACTCCTCCATTTCCATCAGGAGATTTTGCTACCTGGCTTTAAAACAAAAACATGTTATTGAACACTTTTTGTCACGGGAAAAGGAGATTTTCAAATTAAAAGATTGAGCCAGGTCATAACAAAAGACAAAGCATGAAACTTGTTCTCCATGATAGTAATTATATATTGTAGCAACAACGGGCTATAAGCAATCAGGGTGATCCTTTACAAAAGTTCGACTCATGGAAAACAAAAAGGAAAAAGATTACACTCTACATATAAGATGAGAAAAGCTGAAGCCGGATAGAACAATTGTTCGAGTCTCTTAAACATCAATTGAAAAGTTTTCCGGTCTCTTTCTAGCAAGTTACAACTACGGCATGTTTCTCTTTAAATCATCGCTTCCTGGTCCTAACAGATTTATGGATGCGCAACATGAAGCAGAACAAATGAAGCACTTTGACACTTCTTTGAATAGATGCTAGAACAAAAGTTGACACCATAACAAACTACAAGCTAGAATTAGTTTTTTTTTCCCTCTTGCGCCAACTTTATTAGCATGATTATTATAGTTGCAGTCCTTAACATCCTAATATTAAAGCATCTGAATGTAGCTAAACAAAATAAACAGGGGAGGTGTATGCACACACATAGATAGACACGAAAACATAGATACACATGTATATGTAACCAACTCAATTAAGGATGAGAATAACAGCAGCGTCCTACTCTGTATGGTGTCTCCATGATAAACCTGCCATCCTTTGAAACACAAGGTATGGTGCCCTGCTGGAAGAAGGTAACCTGTATCCAAACATCATATTTACGTTGTAAGAAAAATATATTCAACCAACAACAAATGCAGAACTTAATAAACTTACTTGATCAGGTTCTAGGCCAAAGTACTTATGACTCTCAAAATACTTTCGGGTGGTTTCGTCAGTATAAGGGCTTGTCATTATGTACCAATGTATAGGTGTAATAGTATTCGGACCTACATGCATTTCCAATGAGTGGATTAATGGCCAACATATGCAAAAGTTAAGTAGTGCAGAGACCAAGAAGGTGATACTTACCCTCACTTCTCGATTGAGCAGCCAATCTTTGCACACACAAAATTCGTTCTGCTTGAAGTTGGAAAAGAGACTTGCCAGATGGAAGTCCAATATCTGAAATGAGGTGAAAAGCAGTATAAAGTCAAGGTTTAAAGAAAAGGACCACACAAGGCATGTAAAAGTATTAATAATATGATAATATATCTGACTTTCAAACTGACAAGAGGAAAAAAAAATAATCACGCACACACACATACAGACGCGAAAATCTTTAATTTCCAGAGAAAATCTAGCAACACAGAACCCAGTATGCGCTAGCAAAACAAAAGGAGGCTTATAGAGAAACCAGGGGCATGTGGCCAATAAACAGTATGAAGAGAAGTTTAGAAAAAAAGATAAAACCAAAAGATACTGAAAGATCTGCTAACCTGTGCTTTCTAAAATGCAGTTCTAACCATCAATTCTAAAGAACGACAACAGACTATCTGTCATCTCTCTTTCCCATTAAACTTTAACATCAAGCCATTTTACCCAGAAACTTATGATGAATTCAAAATCTCAAATTCGAGTGAGTTTTATATCACTTACTGAAGCATCCTTTCGGATCTGAACTTCCAAGACGTGTTCCCTACATTCAAAATTCAAACATAAACAATCCCTTCAAGAAAAGTAATATAACCAAATTACCATGGCCAACAACAAAATAGTTCACCGAAATCCCAATAAAGATACATTTCAAAATCTCATAAATAACAAGTTCCCCGTAGTTGAAAAGAAATCACAACACAATAAGCTTATATAAACTGCTACATCCTAAAAAAACAAAAAATAGACTACGAGCTGGGGAAAAAGATATTTTATTAAAATGTTTCTTTGTTACTTATGTGATGCCAATCAGAATGAACTGACAGGAAATTTATGCGCAAGAAGTTGAGTATCTTGGAACGCCATAAGAAAGCATCAAGTATATTGTTCATAGTATTGGGTTGAAAATGTAAAGGGCACATAAACCTTTTGCAAAACTTAGTTAACCAAGAACAGTACGTAGAGGTTATAACCAAGGATTGACAGTATGACACAGTGAAAGCAATACGCCGTAAGATGCGGCTGAGCCCTTATGCTAGGAATTTCCTTGTATGAATCAGTTTCTCTTAATTTAAAAAATAAAATGGTTTAGAGATTAGTGGGCACAAACTAAGAAAATTCTAAAGGAACACATACAGCCTGAAGTAACTGTACATAAGCCAAAATAATCCCACAAACACCTAACGCTACTCGTTTCAGCAATTTTAAGAGTCCTGACATGCAAAGATTCTTAAAGGGATCACATACCAAAAATGGACATCACAGCAACCTTCAAACTATCAAAAGGTAATCATACACTATCATTCATCAAAAGCAAAAGATTCAGTTTTTTTAGTTACTATTTAAATGTCCAAAAAAAGGTCAAAGGTTTTTAGAAGGAAAAAAAAAAAGACATAATATACAAAACATAAAGAGGCTAAGGCGAATCAGTACCTGCCCGCCAGACAAGAGCAACACACCTAGCTTCCCTTCAGAGATTGCTTTCATTCCCATATTCCACCATCGCTCCCTATCTTCCATGGTCCGCTCCTCTAGCGTCGACACACTACCCTCCGGAACTGGCTCTATAGCTGCTGCGGGAAGCCCTGTAGATCAACCTCTATTTTCAATTGAAATAGCACAAAGAAAGTTTGACAGAACAGTAAAAGTAGCAAAGCACCCACAAACTGGCTGGATGGACATAAAGAAAATAAAAGAGGGATAAGGAAATGGAACCTTGCGAGTTAAATGAACATCGAATGATTCGATCGATCCTCGAGACGTCTAGACTCTGTCAAACGTCACAAACATGTTTACAGATCAATGAGAAGTAGAACTGAACACACACTACTTGAATTGTAAACAATCACCACACCAATAATATTCGAAACGAAACAGCTACAAGTAATTATAGATATCCAAATAGACAGCAAACAATCTGCATACATAAATATAATCTTCCTACTTCGAAACACCGACAAAGAACGACAGAAATTCAGCTCAATTTCTTCACGTCGATCGAAATTAAACGCGATTCAACTCGAAAAAAAACAGTAAAGTGAAGTACCAAACGAAGATCCAGCAGCTTAAATCAATCGAAACTGAAAATTTGAATTCGAGAGACACAAAACCGAACCTCGATGTCCTTGACGAGGAAGTCACGTTCCTCAGCAGAGAGCTCATCCCAGAGGGCGAAAACATCCTCTTGTCCGTAATCCTTCAACCTCTCGAGTAGCGCCTGCGGAGGAGAAGACGAATCCCCGTTGGACTCCAACGCTGTCGGTTCCCTCATCTTACAAACTTCCATTCACACCCAACTGTTTCCGGTTTAGATCTCCAGAACAGATCTAACCAACAAGAGAAAGAAGAAGAAGAACGTGATCCAATCCAACTTCGGCGTTCCGCCACTCAAACTGTAAAGTAGTATTTAATTGCAGAGAGAGAGAGAGAGAGAGAGAGATTGAAGATTGTGGAGATGGTTGGAAATGAAGGCAGTTGAGAGTTGAGAGTAAGAGTTAGGCTGGCAGTGTGTGTGTGAGAGAGAGAGGTGAATTTGGTGGTGAGTTTAGCGGTTAGTTTGGTGGTGGTTATCCTGGCAAGATTGGAGGGAGAAACAGTGGCGATGAAGACAAGAATCCAAATCAGTTTGGAAAAATTTTTGGAGCTGGGCCGAAATTACCATACAGCCCCTGCTCTTTGGTGTAATCCGAATCTAATTTTCTAGTTCGGTAGTTCCCTCCCTCGATTCTCATAGGAAGGTGGGAAAAATTCAAAAAATGAAAAAGTTGATTGAGGCAATTAAACAAACAGCTAGAATGCAAAAGTACTGAATTGGAAGGATTCATAAATTTGGATTGATTACGTTAATCACACATCCAGCAACACAACAAGAATCACAGTTAATAGAGGCAATTAATTATTCGCAGGAAGAGGAAAAGAAAGAAAAACTATCAAAAGAAATGGGGAAAAAAAAAATAAGATGCCGGGGAATTATCCTAAACTTGTTTTATTTTATTACGTGTGGGGTAGGAAGGAAACCCCCACTGTTGTCCAAACTCCAGGTTGAAGTTGATTTCGACCGAGATTCCGATTCCGAATGATCAACCAACTTTTGATTTATGTTTGTTACACGGGCTACTAAAGTGTGTGGACCGACGTGGTAAATTTTTTTTTTTCCGCCGATGGGCTGGACAAATTTTTGATTCCGACCAAACTTTGACGGCCGGCAAGTGACTACACCGTCACCGACAATGATGACATCATCAATAGTCATTTTGATTTAACACTAAATTTACGTATTAATTAAGACCCAAAATGATTTTTTCTTTGGATTATCCAAAACAGACTTCATTTACCCCAAAAAAAAACTTTTACAAGTCCTAACCTGTATAGACATCGGTGCAATCTATATCTATATTATAATAACACGAATAGAAGTAATATCAAAATAATATACATCTCAATCTAAGCTAATCACTTGCTTGACTAATATATTCGCACAAACATTATCCGCCCAAACGTTAGGAGAGTGTGAAGTCTTGTGATGTCTAGTTGTTAAGTTAGGCAAAATTATTACTATCTGCAGTTATAAGAACTACTCATTTACAGTCGTTTAGACATTTTTGCCCTTGACTACTACAAAAAGTACTAAAACACATAGTTTCAAATCAATTCTTTCTCTTATTCTTCTTTACCTTTCAAAGAAAAAAAATCCAAAAATTATAATGTCAAACTCAGATTTACAATAATTTAGAGGTTAATACAATGGCGGAACAAGAGAATCAAGCACCGGAAGGCTCGGTCTCAAATTTGGTATGTTTTTTTTTTTGCCAAAATTCATTGAATATTATGAAAAAAAATCGTTCTGGAACGGGGTAGCCGGTTCTGAGCAATTTTTTTTTCATTTTTTTCAATTATTTTATGTTATTTTCATTTTAGTTATTATTAATATTTTTTTCAATAATTAGTTTGTTTGAATGAATAGTATCAATTTTTATTGTTTAATTTTTTTATTTAATTTAAAAAAATAAGTATTATTAATAATGATTGTTTATGTAAATTAAATTATTTGTAGTGGTAATTACATCTTTGTATTTTATTTATTAATACTAATTGGTAGTGTGTAATAAATGTAATATAATTTAAATTATATTATTTATGTAAATGAAATTTAATATAGTGTTAATTGACTATCATGTAAGGTAATTAAATTTAAATTATAAATTGTTCACTAGATGTGTTTTACATAATTTAATATACTTAATTGTGTAGTTATTTTTTTATGTATATATTTAAGTTTGTTAAATTTGATTATGTTTCATTATAGGATTATGGTGGTGATGGTATTAACTATAGTTCGTATTTCAAAACTCGCATTAGATTCGATATTGTTGATGATGCTGTAGAATGGGCGAAACAGATTGCAAAATCTCTTGGTTTTGAGGTTGTTATTGCGTCAAGGAGAAGTGAGACGTCAAAATTATTAAGATGTCCAGAGGGTATTTCCCTAAGAGAGACGGAGAATAAGGTGTGAAGTACGAAGTCGGAGTGTTGTGGATGTCAGTTCCAGCTTATAACCGAAATGCGGGATGATAGTACTTCATTTGGCATTCGTACTGTACCAGGTCCTAAGGGTACGCATAACCACCCGTTTGGTACATTTAGGGAGGGACAAGGCATATGAGCGGGATGAGCGATAAAGCGAAGGAGATTGTTAGAGAAATGTTGAGGTTTGGAGGAAAACCGGCTGCAATGGTGAAGCGAATTAATGTTGAATGCCCCGACGACTACGTTGTCCCAAAACACGTATACAACTACAAGAGTAGGTCGCGATTGGACAGTTTCGAGGATAGAATTTTGGTGGAGCAGTTTTCTTACGTAGCTAAGGAACACGGCTATGTGATTTTTACAGATCACGATTCGGGTGTGTTGAGTAATATTTTCTTGGCTCATCCAGTATCTGTACAGATGCTCAGAGTCTACAGGTGATACATTGGTATGGATACTACTTACGGAACAAATAGGTATAAGATGCCACTGTTCCAAATGATTGGGATGACTCCAACCAATAAGAATTTCTTGATTGCATATGCAATTATGAAGGATGAAACGAGTACGAGTTATAATTGGGTGATGGAGCAGTTGCGAAATTTGATTGGGTGGGAGGTGCATCCTACGGTCATAGTGACAGACGGGGAGTTGGGACTGGTAGGTCCAATCAGTAAGTGGTTTCCAGAGTCTGCACATCTTCTGTGCATGTGGCGCATCGACATATGTGTTGTGGCACACGTGAATAGTTATTGTGGTAGCGAATTCGCAACTTGGTAGATGGACAATGTATTCAGAGAGGTACTTCTAGCTCCTACTCAGTACGAATATGCAATGGATGTATTAGGAATGAAGGCATACAGGCACTCAAATGCTTAAAGTTGTAGAAAGTCGGTGAAGTATGTCGAGGACACTTGGTTAGTGCACAAGGATAAGTGGGCTCATGCGTGGACAAATGAGGTGATACACTTGGGGGAGACCAGTAATTGTAGGGTGGAGGCCGCTCATAGTGCCTTGAAGTAATTTCTTGAGACGTCGAACCTGCAACTAGATACAATGTGAATCAACATCCATAATAGGATTGAGCATGCTTTCATTGAGATCAGGTACATTATATTATTGTATTTTTTTTTATTTCACTTCGTATTACTAATAGTATTACCAATAGTATTAGATTAACAGTGAAAATTTTTAATTGCAGGTTCAGTCTAGGGTTGTCGGTGCGACGATCGAATCGATCCTACCTTTAGTTTCCCTATGATCGTATAGTTAAACGTGTCTCACATTACTGCTTGGACATCCTTGATAGGGAGTTTGCTTGCATGCATCAAACTATCATCAATGGGAATGCCCAATATCCGTCGCACATCGTGCAACATGATGGTCATCTCTCCAAAATTCATGTGGAACGTGTTGGTGCCTGGCTGCCACCTCTCTACAAATGTTGTAATGAGTGTCTTATCAATGTTGTTGTGCATGATTCCCGCAATGTGGGACAACCTTGTATACTCCAACAAGTTCTTCCCCTCTGGCCTCATACCATCCTTCCAATCTTTCAATTTCTTGAAGTATGTGATTCTTGTATCCATTTCTAAGGGGTTTTTACACGAGTCTTCTGTCAAAAGAGTGGCCACATGCCCAAGAAAACTGGGAATAACATAACCGTCCTGAGAGCCACCCCTAACTGGCTCCGTCACAATCCAATTGCCGGCACTGCTCACTGAAATTATTAAAAATAAATCATACATTTTTTTCCAAAATATTTGAAAAAAATATTATAATATAATTAAAAAACTAAATATTATACTTGATGATGATGATGATTCAGCCACAGCTCACTGCTGCCATAACGAATAATAAGGGGTCTAACTACAGGGAGAGGTCTAACTGGAGGTGGAGATGGAGGTGTGTCATCTTTGAAATGATCATAACCATCCGAGTCGAAATTCTCAAATGGAACATTTTCTTCGTCAATGACATTCTCCCAGTCCAAACTAGCCTGATCAAATACCTCGTCAAATCTCCGTGGACCAGACCCAACCATCAATGCAGAATCAGGTACAATTAGTCTTTTCGGTCTTTTTTCTTTAACCTACATTGATTAATATATAACTACACTATTACTATAATTCACATAAAAATTAATATAACACATAAATTAAACATATGGTCAAATAATCAAATAATAATAACATCTTTAAATTATAACCTATTTAAAATATTGCTAAAATAATTATAATACATAAATTAAAACATGCTCTAATGTTTTAAAATATAACAACTACTTATTTCAAACTACGGTAAAAAAATTCAAATAATTATAATATCTTTAAATTATAACCTATTTGAATTATCACTACAATAAATATAATACATAAATTAAAAGATGCCATAATTATTAAAAATATAACAACTAATATAATTAAAACTATATTATTTTTAAAATTCTAATTTATACTTCTTATTCAAATTTATTTAAATTATAATAACATAAACGCCATAAATAAAATATAATCAATAATATATAACAAAATATAATTAAAACTAATTACAGCAAAATAAAATCAATAAATAAATTAAATATAACAAAAATAATAACAAACACACAACAAAAAAAAAATTACTCAGGGGTAGCCGGTTTCGGACTTCCAAAGGTAGCTGGTCTCAGATCGGCTACCTGCCCCCCGGACAGCCGATCCCGCGGAGGTTACTCAAATCGGGATAGCCGGTCCGAAGCCGGCTACCCATTCCAGAATTATTTTTTTTCGAATTTTTTGATAAAAAAAACTTACCGGTGCACAGGGCGAGCTTCCCCGTCGTTGTTTGCCTTAATCTGCCATTTTCTTAGTTCCCGAATCTTTGTAGATCTAAGTTTAAAGATTGGGTTTTTGGGTTAGAATGTGAAGAAGAAGAAAGGAGAAGGAGGAGGAAGGGGAAGGAAGGAGGAAAAGGAGGAAGGAAGGGAAAGGAAATGAGGGAGAACGGCAAAAATGTCCAATCAACTGTAAATGAGTAATTTTTCCGACTGCAAAAAGCAATTCAGAATTATTATAGTAAGGTAGACAAGTTTCTGTGACACTTCCGTCCACGTATCTCTTTTAACAATTTCTGACGCAGAAAATCTTCCAAAGAGGCAACTGAGAGCATACTTATATTTAAGAATCAGAGAATTATCGGAAACTCATATGAAAGACTTTTTGAGAGAATGTAAAAGAAGACTAAAACTTTTAAAGGAATATGATAACTCAAGAACATCCTTATTCTTTTAAGGAAATAAATGATATCTTGAAGGATCTAATTACAGCCAAAAGAAAACTCAAAGGAAACTTAATTTTTTTTAATATATTTATATATATATATATATATATATATATACACACTGTATTTGTGCTTAGTTACACATTAAAATTATTGATAGTTGAATTAGACAAGTCAAAAATTATTTTCTTTAAAGTTGCTTTCAGAAACACTGATAACATATGCAATCTGGTGTAGAAGCAAAACCAAATTTCGCCAAGGAATCGGCCGATTCTTTTCCTTTACTTCTTATGAAAGAAATTTCCACGTTCCATCAGTAATTTAGCTCCTTTCTTATTTAATTTTTTGTACCAATGAAAGAAAACTCAAGCTTTAAATCCATATATGCTGATATGGGAGAAGGAATTCGCAATGTCCAGTGTAGTGGACCATTTTAGCGAAGAGGGGAAAGACCCAAAGTGCCAAATTAACATAACCTAACCCTCCAAAAAACACAGCTCTAGTCCAATCCCAATGGCCCAGAATCCATTAAACAGATGTTGTTTCGTAGTTGGTTCTTTTCTTGATTTAGGAAAAGTTAAAAAGTTTACAGCTGCTATTGTGGAGTGAGTAATTATTCTATTTATTTAGAAATGATTGTCCAAATTTAATTTTCATTTTTGATATGATACTAAAAATAAAAATTAAAACAAGAATCATCTCAAAATTAAAGAAATATTTTTTAGAAATAATATAAAGAATGAGTCGAAATCTCAAATTGACGTCAAATCATTGCATTATATGAATCTAGAGATATTATATTTTATCGACGACTTTATTTCTAACAGATGTTCGTATAGTAGTCTTTAAAATCCATCATGCCCTAAAGATTCCAAAGAAACCAAAAGTACAGTTAGTCGCAAGATCCGTTGCAGCATAATTATATTTCAACTACACATTCCAATTCCTATATAAAACTTCACCTATATAAGAGCTCGGATTATAGCGCCATGTATCCAATGAGTTAGTAATTTATTTGTTCGGTACAAAGTAATATATATATATATATATATATGTACCTTTTGTCCAAAAGAAAACAAAAATAAAATAGTATTTATGAAAATTAAAATAACACAAATTGATTTTAAAAAATAAAAATAAAATTGGAACGAATCGAACGTTAAATTGCACAAGTTACAAACTCGATACTACACTAACTTCCATTATATATTATCTTTAATGCATTTACATGTTTTGTCCTATGCTGCTCTTTAGTCTTGAACATCTCTAGTTTTCTGTGCTCTCTCCCTCCCTTGTCGATTTGAAACAAGTGTTTTTTTTTCTTTAATATATACGAGGGAAGTCATCAGGCTTGGGATATAGAAAACATCCCATGGTCTAGCTAGATTCTCTTCTATACTAGACGGAGGCGGCGACAAAATATGACTTCCTTGCGAGTAGGAAAGGCCGAATTTCGCCACGGCATCCGCGACAACATTGAGATTCCGTCGGGTGTGCCAGGCAATTTGAAACAAGTTAGTAGGAAGTTGGAACTCTCCATTCCTGTTGCTTGATTTCTTGTACTATAACTTAATTTGATCCATAGGCTTTCTCTACCCTTCAAAGTTTTTAGGGCCCAAGTTTTCATTGTTCCGTCTCTAAAAATTCCAAAGGAATTGGGGATTGTTATTTCGCTTAAAATAATCACTCTGCTGAATCTTTATCAACGATGGTATATCTATCTATTATATTTACTCTACATGATTTCACTCCAAATAGACGATGATCAAGTACTGTCAATGTTGATAAATCACTTCTTACAAATACAATTCATGTTATTCATTTGAAACTTTATTAGTTTTATCGATTTTCAAAATAAGAGTTCAATCTGTTGAACAAGATATTATGATGGACATTTATATTACTTTACGAGAAAAAAAAGTAGTATTATTTCCGTCCCATAAAAATAATCCACATTGAGTTTTCAGTTTTGTACTGTTTTTAATACAAATTTGAAAATTTAATGTGGATTATTTTTTTAAGACGAATGTAGTATTATATTGTGAAGAGATCCACTTTGATGGAAAGCTTCCACATTCATTAGGTTTTTTTTCCGTTCTTTTTAATGCAAATTCATGCAGTTAAATTTAGTCGGAAGAATCTTTGAGGTGCTCTAATCGTAACAAAACAGAGGTGCTCAAAGTAAAAAATAATTTGCAGAAGAAAATTGTACAGCTTGGTGGCCTGTATCTCTGCCACCTTGACCTTGATTCAACCTTCACCACTCCCAATCACCTCTCTTCTGCTTCAATTCTGAAATTCCCGCACACACTTTCTCCTAGAAAACCATAAACTCATTTCTTTGTGCCTCTAATTTCTGTTTATTTTTTTCTTCTTTTCTTCCTTCCATAGATCTTTTTATAACTGGCATACACATATAGAGGTCCTAGTGCCCGCAATTTATGAATGTTTTATACATTTTCTGACACCTAGTAGACTGTCAACAGGTTCTAAGCAGATATGAAATAATTTTTCTGTACTAAAATCATTATCCAACTTGGATTTTCAGTTTTAATACAAACTGCACAAAAATGAAAATTTAATTTGATAATAATTTCATAATGAAGGGAATACGAATTTTTTTAATAACATTTTTGTGTACGTTCTGTGTAATACTCGTGATTGACATGTAATCCTAATACTGTAACCAAATTATAATTGAACCTATTTAGATAAATCATTAGACACGTGTCAATCATCATTTAAATAAAATCACATATTATGAATAAAAATACCTTCTATCTTGAAAAAAATAGTTTAGATTGAATTTTAAGATTTGTGCTAATTTAAGTTATAAATTTTAAAATTCAATGTGAAATATTTTTTAAAGATAGGAGTACAAAAGAACTTTTACCAAGTAAGCATTTATCGTGACTAGCATGTACTCTCTCCGGTCCTTATTATAAGTTATTTTGATTTGTCTTAGGTTTGTCCTAAGGTTCACCTGAGATGTTTTTTTAATTGAAAGAAAAACCTTAAAAATATTTCCTAATAATTTGGAAAAAAACGACGAATGCGAAAATATATTTTTAAGGTTTTTTCTTCAATTAAAAACACATTTTAGATGAAATTTAAGACGAAATCAAAATGCCTCATAATAAAGACGGGAGGGATCATATACCTTTAGTCAGAACCTTCTCGATTCAACAATGTCTAAGAGAGTACACACATTACCTTCAATGTACGATAGAGTATAGACTATAGAGCATATACTATGGATAACATGTCTTCTAACCAACTTTGGTTAACCAAGTTGTCAACAAACAAAGGTTTTGAAAATATTGAGTAAGGGGTATTGGTCTTAATTTCAAATCCCGACACTAATATAATGCGGCAGATTCTATGATTACTCAAGAGGAGAAGAATTCACAGAGACAGTCCGAAAATGGATTTCTACTCCACTCAATTTAAATACAAATGAGGAAAAAAAAAAAAACCCAATAGTTTTCATTTCCTTATCCATTCCTACGAAAAATACTTGTTACTTTATCTTTCTTCAAGTACAACTTTTTTGTTCTTCAAAAAAATTATTTATTGATCCTAAGAAAAAATAAAACACCAGTTGAATTAAAGTAGATCTTTTTTTTCGGGACGGAAGGAGCATCATTTTTTTTGAATAGCTTAGTAGAACAAAATTAATTGAAGAATATGCATAAATTATGGATCAAAAATAGGAAGGAAAAAAAAATGCATGAAAGACCTTAAAAATGTCAAGGGGCCATTCATTACGAAAAATGATACGTACGCCCTAAAAATGCACTACAAAACTACAGTGCCACTGCTTTGCAGAACTGAACCTGGACACACAGTCACACACTACACCAGCCAACAGGGGCAGACTCCCAGAGTCCCAGAGCCACTATAAATACAGGACATTCTTCCTTCTACTTCCCCTCAGTTTGTTCTACAACTTGCATCACCTGCTAATTACTTTTTTTTTTCCCTTATAAACCACAGCTACCTAGCTAGCAACCCATCTCAATAAAACCACAGATAATCTAGAATTCTGAATCCAAGGATACAAAACAGGGCTTTTTCCTTCATTAATGAAAACAGGGCAACTTAATTAATTACTAAACTCTGTTTCTTTTAGGAATCGAAAAATTTTAGTTGTTTTGTGAAAAAAATTGCAGAATTAGTTGTTATTATCGCTGTTAGGATGAGGGGAGGTTTTGATTTCGGTGGTATTAGTGATGATTATGACGAAGAGGTGGTGGATGATGAGGAAGTGATGAAACCACCTGCATGGCTGCAAGGTCTAATGGCGGAGACATTCTTTGCTGCCTGTGGGGTCCACCTGAACCGGAGGAAGAACGAGAAGAACATCTTCTGCTTGGATTGTTGTCACAGCTTCTGCCCTCATTGCCTTCCTTCTCATCACTCACACGGCTCAATTCAGGTCTATACTCTTTATTACTCTGCCACCAGTTCCTTCTCTGTTCTTTTGCTTCTTTCTTTTAGCCAGCAACGAGCAATTTTTTTAGAGATTTTTTTTTTTTTGGTTTTTGTTATGGGTTTTTTGGATTGTTTTAAGTGTCAAACGTTTGATGAAAACAAGTAATTCTGTTCGTCAAAGCAAAATTTTATCATCGGATTGCTGCTTCTGCATTTATTAATTTAACTTTCTACTTATGCTCTGTTCTTCTGCTTTTTCAGCTGTAATGATGTTTTGTCGATTTCTTTTGAGGATGCAACCGAACCAATTAAGGCCAATCTTTTTTCCCTTTTCATGATTTGGTATTGGTTCTCTGGAAATCATCTTAATTATTATCAATCTTCAAGAATTTTCGATAATTCTCCGGATACCACTTCTCTGTTCATACATCATAGTCCCAACTTTTCTCTGTTTCTTAAATTTTGGCTTTGCGAGTTGTCCCTACTCCTCAGTCCCCTGCATCATTATTAGATAGATTTTCTAGCCATTTAGGTCCTTTATTTCATTTGTTTTTCTTAAACTCCTCGGAGTTTTCTAGATACTCAAATTTGTTGAGAATTCTCCATCCTTCTTTTCTTAAAACTACAAAATTCAGTTAATTCTGTTATAATGATTGTTCAAGCAATTTACCTTAATTTTCACTAACTAGTAAGCTTATTTGCCAAGAATTTATATGGGTCTCGCTAAGGAACTGTGGAAATCTTGATAATTATGGTTGTCGTAGTAGTAGCAATAGTGTGTAATACTGTACTGATTTGGTTCCTTCCATCTTTAGCAGATCTTCTTTTTACATCAATTTTCCCTGCAAAGGGGTTGGTTCTTTAGAGCTGTCGCTTTCAAAAAACAGTTTTGACTGACCCAATCAATCGTCAAACAAATCAATTGTTAGTCTATTTTGTCTTTGTTCATCAAAGCTAGGCACTCTTTCTCACAATGTTATATACATCACTTCATTTAATTCCCCATCTATATTTTCTTGGATGGATAGTTGGTCGCCTACTTTTTTTTTCTTTTTTGTTTTTACTATTGGTAAGAATTTCTACTGTTTACTACTCTCTCTGGTCAATTCAGACAACCTCATGTTGCTGTAATCGGCATGGGAATTTATTTCACCTTTCATTGTTCTCATGCTTCGCATCAAAATGGTAAATGTTGTGAAATTTGATGCTTTTGATAATGTCTTTACAAATAATTATAGCTTCTTTTTTTTTAGTTACCATTTAGAATGATAATAATTTGATAATAATTTTATCTTATCATCGTGTATAATTACATTTTACCTTACATTTTCAAAACACTTATATAATTAAATGGAGGTTAATATCTCTTAATAATAATTAGAAATTTTCCTAGTTTGATAACAAGATCAGTGCTTGATCTTTACTTGGTAAGACGAAATTGTCAACAAAAATTTACCTTTTAAGTTCTGCACTTCTGCTTATGCTATAGCTCCATTTGGACCCTTTATAAAAAAATCAGATGTAGTATCTTTTGATCAAGTGGAGTCAAAAGAGAATTATTGCAAAGTGAAAGATTTTTACGGTGATCCTTCTTCATGGTTACATTTTAGTTTTTACTTTAATGTAAAAAATAAAATAAAAAACATGTTTGTGGATCCTATTGTTTTCCTTAGAAAAAAAGGATAAAAGTAGGACAAAAACCAGTGCTTATTATTACTTCACATGTGGCAGGTGAGGCGATATGTTTACCAGAGTGTTGTAAGATTGGAAGACCTCGAGAAGCTCATAGACTGTTCCTTCATTCAGGTAAAAAAAATTAAAGGGATTTCACAGTTATATATCCTACAAAAGTTTTTGCAATATGTCTTTTGTTTTTATTGCACCGTTCGATGTTCAGATCAAATATATCTTAACCAACGTAAGATATTAAGATATTATGATCTATATGTATATGGTAATATATTTAATCCATGTTTGTCACGTTTTTAAGGATGACTTGAAGACAGATGTGACTGAAAACTAGTAAAAAATTTCAATGATACTTCAACTTAACAGTGATCTTTTTTTTACTGTGTCTCACAAAAATTATTTACATCATTGCACAATATGAAATTTTTTAATTTCTATCATTACGACCAGCTCTTTTCGTTATTTCTGCTTTGCTCTATGATACTCAATCTCATCTGATCATGCATGTTTAGTTTGTACGAGCTAATTTATTAACTATCTTTCTGGTCTCACTTATAAGGTATATATTTAACTATATAGTTTAATGCGTTATAAATAAGATCGAGAGTTTATGACAGTACTTTATGTTTAGATTTTTATGATGATATTAATTGGGGGTTATTGTCTTTGTTCTGGGCAGCCATACACAATAAACAGTGCCAAAGTTATATTCCTAAATCAGAGAGAGCAATCGAAGTCTGGCAAGAGCTCTGGCAATGCTTGTTTAACCTGTGACAGAATTCTTCAGGATCCATTTAGCTTCTGTTCTCTATCCTGCAAGGTCCACCTTCCTTTCCTCCCTCTTTATTATATATGCTCTCTCCGTCCCAAAATAAGAGTCGTGTTTTATTTTTATTTTGGGATGGAAGGGCGTATCCATTAACAAAGTTTCTGCTTCACTGCACCAAAATTTTCCCTTCCAGACAACCAGCATTTTCGGTTCTCTTTGTCAGATTTCAAAAGTAAGCATGTCTTACAAATAAAATAGTTTTAAAAATCTGGCTACTATTGTATTGTGAGACGAGGCGACGAGCGTTGCTGGACACGACGAGACATATCATACACTACACATTAATGCATATCCCATGTTACAAATTGTGTTGATTGATTGGAAACTTAAGACAAAAATAAAACTAACAATTTCTGCGTTTGATCAGGTTGATTACATGGTATACCATGGGGAGGATATGACAAGCATACTATACAGGATTGATGATGATCAATCCGATTTCGCTGTCTCGCAATTTGAGAGATTGCATGTGGATTGCCCTGAACTGCTTTATGATGATGGTCAAACTACACCGAATTCCATCTTGGAGGACCCTTTAGCATACAGATCAGGCTCAACATGTTCATACTCTAATTCAATGGGCAATTCTGAAATTTCAATGCACCACCACCACAACCAAGAACATGATCAGATGATGATGGTCAACAAAACAAAGAAAAAGGGCAGTGGATTTCTACCTGGAATTATATGCTCATTGAATAACAGGAGAAAGAGTGCCCCTCACAGGTCTCCACTGTCTTGAAAGTGATTTCTCAAAGAAACTCTCAATGATTTTAAAATTGCTACTTCTGGTAGTGAACATTATTGTACCATCTATTTGTAGTACCAAGTACTATTAGGTTTAGTCATATGTGGGTTTTTTTTTTTTTTTCTTTTGACATTTTCCTATGGTGAGAGAGTCTTTGATCAGTTTGAAGTTGTGAATCCTCTATGGGTTCATTGATTAGTTTTGGTTTGGTATGATAGGCAATTCCATTGTTTGCCATAGGTTGTGGTCAGGAGCCCTGTATTGGGAAAATAAGCTGTTGACCATTGCCAATTTTGTTTTTGTACCTGGTTTCGTAATGGTAAATTGCCTAAAAAGACATATCAAGTTTGCTTTATGTTTAATGTACATTTGTACCTTTGTGAGACTTGGGTATCCATTTTAAGGAGTATAATATTTTTTGGAACTTGATAATTTATTGGCCACAGGAAAAAAAAGAGGGGCCATATTGGCTCATTTAAAGGCTGGATGTAGGCTAAACAGGGAATTATGGTTTAGTAGTAGAAACTCATTTATATTGGACCATAATAATTATATACGTTGGTGTTTTGGAATTTGTCATGGACATGAATTACTTATTTTGACCAGCTACTTGAGATTTTAACCCAACAATAGAGATTAATCATTGTTACTTATTTTGACCAGCTCCTATCCATTGACGTTAATCATTCTTACTGAGGAGGCTACATATTAAAGAAAATTGCTCAAGTATTGGTGTTGATTGGTAGCTTTTGTTGGAACCATGAAAGTTTATGCCACCAACAATAGAATACAAAAGAAGATCAAAAGCAAAGTACCTCCTTAATTTCACCTTGTCAAAGTGGCTTCGTAATAACTAAAGGGTTATTTGAGCAGTTAGTGTCCTATGAGTGGTTGCTAAATCTTAAGATTTCAGTTTGTACTTTGAACGAGATAATAGGGCTTTGTAACAAAACTGACCTTTCTCCTGGTTGTGAAGTTTGTGAAAACTAACTGAAATTCAGAATCAAGTGGCATTCACACAAGGACGGTATTACATGTCATTATTGCTTTTACCACACACAACTAGTATGCTTTTAGAAATTGTGATATACTTATGTCGTCTCAAAATAATTATTCAACTTAAATTTTTATTTATAATATAAATTGAATTAAAAGTAAAAATTCAAAATGAAATAAACCGAGTAAGTGTAATGGTCACGAATGACGATATCTACAAAACAAAAGATTAAATTCATATCATATTGATACAAACATGTAACTTTGAGAACTAATTAATGGTTTTATGTCACAACTCGCGAATGGTACTGAATATTCGATATGACGCCCAACTTTTTTGTCTCCCCTGCATGTGTCTTTTAATCTTAGGTTAGATTTTGTTAGCAGTAAATCTAACAAATGGTTCAGAACAGAAGTAAAAACAACGTCAAAATTAAATATGAGACCATATCTGGTGTTTTCTGGTTGTCCGTACAAACCATTCATGTGTTAGCGGACAAACTTCGCAGAGTACAGACACCACATATCATTATCTCATTGATTAATGTCCTGCCCTTTGTTCAAAGACGACCCATCTGGAATCGTTTTGTGTTCTTTTATTATGGCGATAAGGCGATCGATTCATCACATTGCGCACAAAAATTATTACATGCATTCTACATGATAAGATTTTGAGTTAACTTCAATGGATTGGGGACACTTGGGGTGCATGAGACATTGAAAAAAGATAGTACTACATTTTTGCATATTTGCGAAGTAATAACAACGATTGATTCTTTATGCTCAATATTATAAACATTTTGATATGAGAATACGTTTTATTATGCGAATTATTCAACTGATGGATTCACCATGCATGGCATTATTGTGCCAAAACTGGTGTGCACTCTTAATTAAAACATTAGCTTATGAGTAAAATCAGATCATGATCAGTTATCGTCATAACACCTCTCTTATTGTTCTTATCCCCTTGACTAATCCATTGAGTTCATGCAACGGTCATTGGTGATTTTTCACCATTTGGATTATAATGTAATAATAGTCCACGATAACTATTTTCTGATACTACTTGATTTAACAATAATTATCTCGACGTATGTGACATAATAATTAGAAAGAATTTTTTTAAGATACATCGACAATGTAATTAGCTATATCATTTCACTTTACTAATTAACTCTCTTTAAACCGCTTTTGAGTTTGGCCTTTGAGCTCGACAAACATCCAAAATCAAAACAGCCGAATTATGAACATCCTCGAACAGTCAGAACTTGTTTATAATAATGATAGCCATGGGGTTGAAACTTGACAGTGAATTGAACACGAAAAGATTACAAAATACTCTTCAAAGAAAACACCATTTTGATGAAGTTTGGGAAGGTGGGGTTGAAGACACACACGTGATATGGACCACGTCCCACCACAAGTGGACCCTTCTGCTTAGATTCACATGTTGTGCTAGATTTTATTTACTAAAATGCTTATAATAATTTTGAGTTTGTGACAATCTAGGCACTTATGTGGAGTAGGTGGCACAAGTGGGGAGCTGCCATTTGGCAACACTTGTTTACTCACCTCCACTTCAATTTTTTGACCAATTATACAAAACATTGAAATCAATTGTATTTTTTATTTTTATTTTATTTTATTTTATATAGAAAAACTCAGTGATACTACATACTGTTTCAAAAAAACAGACATACATGGCCGTTGGATAGACTGGTTTGTAGTGTGGCTTTTGTTCCATCACAGGAGTTGAGCTTTGGGATTATTTCAAGCTCTACTAGTTTGAGATACGGGTGGGAGCTATATATATTATGACGGAGATTGATAATCAAAATGTTACAAGATTGTTTATAGTGACAAAGAAAGCCGAGGCAGATCACTGGACCTTAGCTTAGGGATTAAACATCCTTTTGAGTCTTTGGAAAGTGAAAGTGCAGCCTGAATTTAATTTTGCAGCTATTATTTGATTTTCTGGTTACAATTGATAAGAAATCAAACCGCTACTGTGACACACGACTTAATCAAAATATACATCCACAATTTGTATATGATTTAAAGTTTCCAGTGTTTAACCTCTTTCATTGTAATAATAAAATAAGAAAGAAAGGGGAAGAAGATATTATTGGAGATATAGAAGAAGGCCAAAAAACTCACACTCAAGAGGGGAAAAAAATGTTTCTTTGGTCCTATTTATAAAACAAGGATAAGGCAAGCCTCCTTCCCTTAAGCCTTCGTGAGTCCATTTGTAGAAACTGCTTGCTTCCTTTTACGCATATTATTATAAATAATAAAAATTATTTTAAATAATTATTTTTTCTTTTAATTTATTATATATATTAGGGTGTCTATGATACCCATAAGTGAGTAATTTTTTTTTACTGAGTTTTGCGTTCTTAGATTTATAGAATGAATGACTTTTTTCAAATATATATATATATATATATATATATCACAAAGAGAGTAAAATAATTGAAAGGAAACATGCCTATGGGGTTCAATTATGTAGTCCCTTCCCCACGATTTTTCAGTGTAGTTACAGTATAGTTCTGCATAATTAGGCATGTCCATCACTGAGTTATGATGGGCTTCCATGAGCATTCCGATGTGTTGTGTTGTTATTCTTCGCATAACACATTGGATGTTCTTTCTTTTTCTTTTCCATTTTCACAGATTTCCACAAGTTAGACAGAGAGTTGGGTTAGGTTTTGGTTGCACCCGTCTCAAGGTGGAATAGGTTTCAATGCAACTGCAATAGGAAAGTTGTATATACGTGGAGAGAGTATTGTTAAAATAACAGTCAAGTCATTTCTGGTTAGTGTGATGATAGTAAATATTTTCTCCAGTTTTAAATACTTACATATAAGTAACAAATTTAAATTAATTTTAACTGTATCATCCCGTCATTTAATTAACATCTGTATGTCATGTATTTAATTGATGATTGAATATCATCCTGAATCAATAAAGAACTTGTCAAAAAAAAGTTGAAGAGCTCCTTGTACAAGGTTAGAAAACTTTGGTTTTGAACCCCCAAATTCTCAATTGAACCTTCACTTTTTTACCACTCGGACAATCTTCAGGACCTTCATTCACGCCAATATTGATTAATGACATGACGTGATTAAACTATGATTAATCGGTGTACGTAGCTTATAGGACGTTACAATAGGCATGTTCTCCTCTGTTGTACTCAGAAAAAAAATTAGCAGAAGAACTTGATCATATTGGAATAATTATATTAAACAAAGTCGAATATTTGGAATTCCTGAATTTCATAATCTTCCATTAAATCCTTCCATTTCTAAAGTGACAATTTACAAATGCTTTGTGGAACTAACCAAATTAAGAGTAAAATTGCTTTTACATTTGATGTTTTTCCAATTACCTGTAAACATGGAAATTGTGACAACCAACTTGACCTTGGTTTAAAAGAGATGCGATGTTTCGTTCCAGAATTCACCTAAACTTTGGAATCTCATTCTAATTTGACCGATTTAATCCCGAAATACCATCATCCGAAAGAAAAGGTACAAATGTCAGACTTTACACTAATCCTTACTCTAATCCTTACATAAGCCTTACTCTAATCCTGAATCCTAAATCCCGTTAAAAAGAGAATTAAAATTATGGTTAAAATTGGGACTAAAACACCTGTTTCTTTTACAAGTTTAATGACTCATTATGAAAGGTTGTTAATTTACCTCATCTGGAGAACAGCGATTACAAGAAGAAGAAGGAAAATGAATGACAATAAGGAACAAAAACACTTGAAGAACTTTTATGAACTCATGCAACTAAAACCCTAAAAATCGAAGGGGAGATATTGAGGGATTTTATTCTTTATTCTAGTATATATCAAATCAACCACTCCACTTAATAGTTAATACTCCCTCCGTCCCATAATTATTGTCCAGTTTTACTAAAATGAAAGATTTTATTTTTAGTCCAACTTAACTATATTTTACCTTAAACAACCGGATATACCCCTGCGTAAGTAATTGTTTAGTCACTAAGATTTTATGGATAATGTTTTTTACTAAGGACAAATGTGTAACTTGATGCATAAAAAGTCAAATTGGACAATAATTTTGGGACAAAATTTTTTGGGCAAAGTGGACAATAATTATGGGACGGAGGGAGTATAATTTAAGATGTACCGAAACACTAGCATTGAAAATAATCAAATCTGATTAGTGAGTTTCGGACATCGTATTAAAACAAAAAAAAAAAACACAAAGAGATGGGCTTGTTTGGACAAGTCTCATTTTGCCTTTTTGTCTTATTTTACCTCTTAAAATACCTCTCAAACACAAAACTCAATACTATCTAAACAACTTTTTACTTTTTAAACATTATTTTTACACAATTTTCATCTATAAC